AGTCAGACATGACTGAAGTGACTTAGCAGCAGCAGCAGCAAAGTAATGCTCAAAATTCTCCAAGTGAGGCTTCAACACTATGTGTACCGTGAACTTCCAGATGTTCAAGCTGGATTTAGAAAAGGCAGAGGAGGAACCTGAGATCAAATTACCAACATCCATTGAATCATCCAAAAAGCAAGAGAATTTCCTAAAAACATCTACTTCTGCTTTATTGACTACGTCAAAACCTTTGACTGTGTTTGGTCACAGCAAACTGTGGAGAATTCTTAAAGAGATAGGAATACCATTGGTTGGTTGGGAGCATTGGCTCCTGTTAACATTGGTTAACCAGTGATAATGCTACATGTCCTACCCTATACAGGTTAGTGTTGTGCAGTGAGGTCTGAGGTACACATGCAAATGATGTCCCAGTTCCACAGGCCAGGAGCATGTGGTGAGACACGAACCATCACCACACTTCCCCTCGCCTGAGGAGGCTTTCACAGCATTTCACACTTACTTCTGATGTGACAGATACTACAGCCCCTTCACCTGAGGAGGCTGTGAGAGTGGTGCAGGGGTGCCCCTGACATGACCACTAAGCATAAATTCTCTACCTGAGGGGACTGTGACAGCAGTGTATGGGTACCTCAGACATGGCTGATACCACCCCCCCTCCTCACCAGTGGAGGCTGTCACAACAGTTCAAGAGTACCTCAGAGGTGACTGGTCACCTCAGGTCCCCTTACCTGGGGAGACAGTGACAGTGAGCCTTTGTACCTAAGACCTGACCACCAGGCACATATCCCCTCGCATGACCATGTCACAGTACCTGTACCTTACTTGTGGCCAATAGCACAAGCCACTTCATCAGAGGAGGCTGTCCCCCCTCAGAGGGGAAGACATCTAAGGGGTGGCCTCTCAGTGACTATGGTGGTGATAATATATAAATCTTCTTCACAGCACTTCACAGCTTGCAAAGAACTCTCACCTAGAGTGTCTCACTAAACCTTCACTCCAGCCAATATAGCCACTACTGTTACCTACTGTTCTTGAAGGGGAGACAAAATGACGTCATTGCCCAAATGGAGGAGCTGGGATTTGAACTTAAGTTTGTGGCCCCCAAAGCCAATGGCACACTGCCTCCTGGTGGAAGAAACGATGGTGACAGTGATGAGTGTGCTGGAGGCCCCAGTGATGGCCCTGGATTCTGGACTCTCCTCCCCAGCACTCCAGGAGCCTCCTGCCCACACCCAGTCTCTCCCCCAGTGTATTTATAACTTCCCTTTTCTCCTTGGCACCTTCCTTTTCCAGCCTGATCTGTCGGATCTGTCGGATCTGTCGGAGCCTGACGCCAGGGAAGGTGAGGAGCAGTAGGGGTGAGACGGAGATAGACAGTGTCACTGACGACTTTCCAGGGCAGAGTGGCTTAGGCAGCTGGCCTCCACTGGGGGTGGGAGCAGGGCAGGGAGGAATTTAGAGGGCCAGGCTGTGTCTTCTGTTCAGAGCTCAAAAATATTCCTGAGATGGGACGTCCCTGGTGGCCCAGTGGTTAAGACTCCACCCTTCTGCTGTAGGGAGCACAGGTTCAGTCCTTGGTCAGGGAAATAAGATCTTATATGCCACACAGAATGGCCACAAAAATAAATAAAATAATTTTTAAATAAAAAGTAAAGGAACCTATAAATTAAAAAAAAATGTTCCTGAGATGCATGGACTCCTCTTGGAGACATTTCTGGGCCACCCCATCCACTTTCTTAGATGAAAGAGACCTGGACTGGGAATGTTGTGGGCCTTCCCACAGTCCTGGGAGAGAGGCAGGGTCATGTTACCTGGGTGGAAGATGCTTCTGACAACTGCTGGCCCCCTTCACCTCTTCTCACCCTGCACCTCAGCAGTACAGAGCTTGAGCAGAACAGACTCCCACTCAAAAGAAGAGGAAATAGAATCTCAGAGAGCTCCAAGCCAGGCTTAAACCCAAATTGGTCTGCCACCAGGGTCTGAGCACATATCCACTCTATGGCCTCCCAGACTCATTCGATGGAGAACAAACTCCATCTAAGACAGAGTAAGAGAAGCCAAGGAGAGAGAGAGTGAACATTTGGGAAACCGAGTAACTCTCTGCTCTGTGATACCTGTTCCTCTAGCTTCAAAACCTTCAGAAGTTCCCCACACCCCATCCTCTGGCCAATAGCACAGTTTACCATTACATGGAGATTTTTCCACAAACTTTTTCTCATTTGTGTGGTTGGTTGGCTCAGAGGCTAGACTAAGAATTAGCAAACCTGAGATCTCGATTCTGCTTGTCCTGTGTGAATTGGTCAATTCCTTTCACCTCTGCACCTCAGTTTCCTTACCTGTCACATGGGGTTCTGAATTGTTCAATTGGTGGGAAAGCCTCCATAGACCACAGAGTTCTGTGCCCCAGTGAGGACTATTAATATTGTTGTTCTCATATCTAGCAAAGCCCAGTGGTAGCTGCTAACCAGCCACTTGGGAGTCCCCAGAAAAGCAATACACAGGGCCCTGATAGAAGGGGGTCTCAGGGGACAAGGCCCCAGTAGGCTAGGGATGAGGGCTTAGGGGACTAATGAAACCAGTTTCAGCCCCAGCCTGGTCCTCCCTACTGAGGTGACACTGGCCTGGGGAGAGGAAGGGGCAGCTGGAGTGAGCTGAGCTGCAGGTGAGCTGAGCCCCTGTCATGTAGACTTGAAGGCTACAGGGACGTGCCCAGAGCCTGTCAGAGCCCAAGGAGGGACAAGGCTCTGGAAGGACATGGCTTAAGGGGGCAGACAGTCAGGGACCTTCATCCCACAATGAGAGGGGCCCCAAGAGAAGGGAAATGGGCTAAACTTTTTCTGCCTCAATTTATAGCATTGCAGGCTGACTTCCCAGTTGGTGCTAGTGGTAGAGAACCTGCGTGCCAATGCAGGAGATGTAAGAGACATGGGTTCGATCCCTGAGTTGGGAAGATCCCCTGGAGGAGGGCATGGCAACCCGCTCCAGTACTCTTGTCTGGAGAATCTCATGAACAGGGGAGCCTGGTGGGCTACATACAGTCCATGGGGTTGCAAAGAATAGGACATGGCTGAAGCTACTGGGCATGCAGGCTGGCTGCTGACTCACTGACTGTGTGACCATGGCTAGGCACAGCCCCTCTCTAGGCCTCCTCCTCCCTATTAGCAACAGTAAGGGAGCAGGGCCAGAAGCTTTCACAGAATCAGGGTCTGATTCCACAGAACGCTGGAGGGAAAGCCCTGGGGGTGGTCAGGACAGTTCTGTGGAAACACTAAGTGAGGTGCCAGGCCCCACAGAGATGCTGGTTTTACAGGAGAGGAGCCGGCTCAGTCTCCAGCCCCAAGAAAGTGGCAGGCTGGTGAGGGAAACAGGAATGATCCGGGCTGCCAGACAGGGGCGCTTCAGTGCCTCTTCCGTGGTGGACCCTTGGGAGCCCTGGGCAGGGAGTCAGGGATCTGACTTTCATCTCCTTGTGTGACCTTGATTGAGCAAGTCGCTCCCTTCTCTGAGTTACTTTATTGGATAAATGAGGGGAGGACCATGGGAATTGGACTACCTTGCTTGCTTTTAAGGAGCCTTCTGGCTCTGATATTCTGTGGCAGCCATGCAAACCTCGCACGAACCTCATACAACCCACTTACATGGGCTCAGTCAGGGGGGAGAGAACAGCATCTCAGAATTGTATCAGCTTCCCCGGAAATATGGTTTGTATTAGTTTAGATGCTAAAACAAAAGAAAGTAAAATCCCTGCTGATTGTCCATTATGGGAAAAAGTTAATTTGAACTCAGGTTAACCGTCTCATTCATTAATTCATTTATTTAAAAAGTATTTGCAGAGGGTTTGCTATGAGCTAGCTTCTACCAGGCACAAAGTGTACAGCAGTTTTACTCAGGACGGGTGCACTGACTGCCGTGACTTTTCTGCTTGCAGATTCATCCAGTCCACCTCTTCTTTAAGTCATTTCTTTCTTTTTTAAAAATTTATTTGGCTGCATCAGGTCTTAGTTGCAGAATGTGGGATCTTTCCCTGCGTTGCAGACTCTCTAGTTGTAGCTCGCAGGCTCAGTAGTTGTGACACTCAGACTTAGTTCCCCCGCAGCATGAGGGGTCCTAGCTCCCCCACCAGGGATCAAACCTGGGTCCCCTGCATTGCAAGGCTCTTTCTCAACCGCTGGACCACCAAGGATGTCCCCTTAAGTCACTTCTTGAGAATAGCTTTTTTTTTTTTCCTAGCCATGCAGAGCCTCTGTTTAGTAACCAGTCCACTTGAAACTGTTTGAAAACACCCTCAGAACAAAAGAGAAATTCATAACAGTCTCTGATAGCAGTCTAAGAAACAGAGAGAGGAAAAGAAAAATTTTGGCCTATTTTTTCTCCAGGTGGAAATCAGAGCTTCTGAATCCTCCAGGTGGCCTGTCTTGGTGGAAAGAGTCTAAGACCAGATCCAAAGGCCTAGATTCCAGGACCAAGGTTGGTGCAGACCAGCTGTTGACCTGAGGCTGCTCCCCATTCCCACCCCAGCCTGAAGATTCATTTGTGAAAGAAAGGGTCAGGGATTCAACTGTCTGCAAGCAATTTTTCGTGCTTACATAATCTTTGACACAAGAAGGTTTTGTTAGAAGAGGGAGGGACGCTGGAGATGGTTCTGGAAAATCAAGTGGATCTGCTCCAGGGGTTCCTGGGGCAGAGAGGCAGTGAACATCAATGTAACCTGGCCCTGGATCACTCAGTCAAGGTGAAGGGTGAGTCAACACTGCCATTGGCTCAGTTCTGAGGGTTGGAAAGGCTCACTCAGAGGGGCTTGGGCTGCCACGCATCCTCAGTAGCTTTCTTCAGTGGTCTCCCAGGAGTGGAGTTACTCTCTGCAGAGGGCTTGGCCTTCTCTCCTGACACTGCTTCTGAGACATCTGAGTTCTCTGTGGTGCACTCTGGGTGGGGCCCAGGCAGTGGGCATGAAGTGGCTAAACAGTGATATCTGCCGAGATGCAGCAGCCGATGTGGGGAAGACCATGGAGTGGTCCAGGAAGTGCCTGGGAGTCTGGTTTTTTCTTTTTTTCCCAATAGGTGGAGAATCCATGTTCCACTTGGATTCACTGGGGAAATGACTCCTTTTACCAAAGGCATATAAAATGCTTCTACCCTTGTAGGGCGACTAACACTCCAGTTTGCCAGGGACTAAGGGATTTCCTGGGACATGGCACTAGGAGTGCTAAAACCAGGCAGATCTGGGCAGAGCAGGATGGTTGGTCCTGGACATGACGAAGAGACATGATCCAAGGACAGGTCCCAGGGCATTCATGTTAGACTGAGACAGACAGAGCCCCAGCAGCAGCTGCATGGAAAGAAGAGCTGTTCTCAGCTGAAGCAGATGGCATTTTATAGTGGTCCTTGAAGAACGCAGCTGTCTCTATCAATAAGACATCATAGAAAGGGAATCCTCCAAGTTCTGATTAATGTCACTCAGTTATATTACTTTTTAAAAAGAACCAATGGACCTAAGGTCAGACGGTTGCTTAAAGGTTTTTAATCTAGCTCCTATTCTAAACTTCCTCTGCACCATTTTAGCCAAAAAGACCCCAGCTTTGCATACTTCTAGTTATATGAAATTTGCTCATTTTCAAGCCAGTCTTTTGCCACGTGGGATAATGCAGATTGTAAGAAACTTATTTCATGTGTGGGACTCTCTGCATCCCTGGAGCTGCTCACACTGGCCCAAGTTCTTGGTATGTGCCCTTCAGGGGTTTATGTTCATTTCTCTTCCCCACCAGACAGCACCAGCTTTGCAACCAATGCTCCTTAGACAACTCACCATCCTGGGCATCTTAGTCGTGCAATGAAACTCTAGACACAAAGAAACTGTTAGGATTGAAATCCATGGTTGGAAAGAAAAAGATATGTGTTTCAGTTGACATTTTCATGCTTGTTCTGGTTAACAGGAATGTATTGATATTCCCAGTGTCTGTCTGCTGATATCCAGCACCGACTCACAATGGAAGCCACCTGCAATGGATCAAAGGGCTCCTCACCTGTCTTCTACTTGGTGGGCATCCCCTCTCTGCCTGAATCCCTCTTCCTCCTTGTCTTTGTCATTTTCCTCTTAATCTATCTGCTCATCCTGGTGGGAAATACCCTGATCCTGGTGGCCGTGGTGATAGAGCCTAGCCTTCACAAGCCCATGTACTTCTTCCTGATCAACCTCTCGGCCCTGGACATCCTCTCCACTACAACAACTGTCCCCAAGATGCTGTCCCTATTCCTGTTTGGGGACCACTACCTCAGTTTCTCTGCCTGCTTCCTGCAGATGTACCTTTTCCATGGCCTTAACTGCTCTGAAGCCTTCATCCTGGTGGTCATGGCCTATGACCGCTATGTGGCTATCTGCCGCCCACTGCACTACCCTGTGCTCATGACCCCACAGACCAATGCTGCCCTGGCAGCCAGTGCCTGGCTCATTGCCCTCTTTCTGCCCATCCCAGCAGTGGTGCAGACCTCGCACATGACTTTTGAAAACATCGCTCACATTTACCACTGCTTCTGTGACCACTTAGCTGTGGTCCAGGCCTCCTGCTCTGACACCACACCCCAGACCTTCATGGGCTTCTGCATCGCCATGGTGGTGTCCTTCCTGCCCCTTCTCCTGGTGCTTCTCTCCTATGCCCACATCCTGGCCTCAGTGCTTCGCATCAGCTCCCGAGAAGGACGCTCCAAAGCCTTCTCCACCTGCAGCTCCCACCTCCTGGTGGTTGGCACTTACTACTCATCCATTGCCATAGCCTACGTGGCCTACAGGGCTGACCTGCCTCTTGACTTCCACATCGTGGGCAACGTGGTGTTTGCTATTCTCACACTTGTCCTCAACCCTCTCATCTACACGCTGAGGAACAAGGATGTCAAAGCAGCCATCACCAAAATAGCATGTCCCCAGAACCTAGGGAATTCTAGGGCCTTTGATCCTTAGTTACAACTAATTCAGCTCCCTGGACACAAATGACAGTGCCCAGTACAGAATAAACACAATAAACATTTTAAAATGAATTATAGCAACCCAAATTGACTTCATTTGGTTGATCAGACACCTAAAACCTGGTCCTCAAATAATGGATCAAGAAGTCTTCCCACTGGTGCCACAGAATAAGTGATTTTCACAATTTTCCCCAGTCATTAACAGGATGAATAAAATTTGATCATCCAGTGATTCATATTAAAAATCTTTACTTGATATGCAGGAGACAGAAATAAACCAGACCTATTTGCTGCTCCTATGGTATTTATCGTTTAACTGGAGAGTCAGACCCAAAGAAGTACTATAAGGCAATATGACAGAGAGAAGTAACAGGAGGGGACTGAAGGAGCCAAGAAGTTAGCATTTGATTCAATGTTAAAATTTTCCTGTAAGTTCTTCTGTTTTTGGCATTGATATCACTTGTTTCTTAGCAAATATTCATGAGTCAGCAGTGCAGTTGGGCGAGAGGCTTGAGAAGATTACATAAGAAAACCACTAGCTTCTCCAGCCAGGGAGTGGTCACAGGGTCCGTGTTCTTGTCCAATGGAATGGATCCGTTTTCAGCTTGGATGTCCATTAAAAAGGGATGCTTCCTGCCAAGAACTGGTGGGTGGAAGTTAGAGTGGCTCCACTCATCATTACCCTCAGTGACCCAACTGGGGAAATTTGTGTTTCCAGTCCTGATGACTCTGGCCTCTGTGCATTAAGCAGTCCTGATTCAACTGGAGACACAATGAATCTCACTAAATTTAAAGCTACCACTTCTGCCTGGTCATTTTAAGCTCACTGTGAGAGCAGACCAGCAGTTACCAAGAGGAGTTACCATGTTTACAAGGGCAATTTACTGTGATCTTCAGGAGGAAGGAAAATTGCTCTTCCATAATGGGGACTGGGAGGTTGGCACTCAGGCAAGTAAGCATTTCTTATTTCTGCCAACTCTAACTCTTAGTGGACCAAGAAAACAACCACAGCATGATGAGGCATAGCAACCAGGGGTTCAGAGTTGACATGGACGAGGATCTGGATCATGCTAGAAGGGACTCCATCTAGATCCACTGAAATGATTGAATGTGAAGGAAAAGGGGAAGGGGAGCTAGAATGGGTGAACGAGGAGGGAGAAGAGGAGGATTGCTTGCAGCCTTGGGACTGACTGCAGCCGCAGGGGCAGTCGTTAATTCAACTAATCTTTTTCTTGGAAATTTCCCTTGAAAATGTGACCAGTCAGAATTCTGGAAACCCTATGTCCAAACAGAGTGAACTTGTGAAAAGTTAATGAATCTAGGACTTTCCTGGTGGTCCAGTTGCCAAGACTTTGCCTTCCAGTGCAGGGGATGTAGGTTCAATCCCTGGTGGGGGAGCCTAAAATCCCACATGCCTCACAGGCAAAAAACCAAAACAAAAAGAAACAATATTATAACAAACTCAATAAAGACTTTTAAAATGGTCCACGTTAGAAAAACTTTTTAAAAAGTGAATGCATCTGAGAGGTTCAAGGGATAGACTGGAGTAGACAGTAGTCTGTCCTCTAGCAGCTGAGTGCTGGCTGCTAACAACTCACACAGATATACCCTAAGATAGAGGCATGGTGACCCTGACCCTCATTGCTTTCCTTTTTGGGGGAAAGGGAACAAGAGAGCAACTTTATAAGTAGAACAAACCAACTGCTGGGTACTAAGCAGTCTAAGCTTGGATGCCAGCTGTTGACATCCTATAGAAGTACAGTATCTATAAAGCCAGCTATTAGGCATCTAGAGACCCTAAGAACCCATGAAAAGTGCATCTTCCCCTGCAGGAGATGAATATCACTAGTCTCCTGGGAAACTGAATGTATGCAGGCAGCCTCTCCCCTGTGTATTGCTAGAAAATGCAAACAAAACTCCTGGAGTAATTTTCCATAATTGTGTTTCACTCCAAATACCCTACGTCTGTTATCTCATTCAGTTCAGTTCAGTCTCTCAGTCATGTCCGACTCTGCCACCCCATGGACCACAGAATTCCAGGCCTCCCTGCCCATCACAAACTCCCAGAGTTTACTCAAACTCATGTCCACTGAGTCGATAATGCCATCCAATCACCTCATCCTCTTCTCTTCCCGCCTTCAATCTTTCCCAGAATCAGTCGTTTCAAATGAGTCAGCTCTTCTCATCAGGTGGCTAAAGTATTGGAGTTTCAGCTGCAACATCAGTCCTTCCAATGAATATTCAGGACTGTTTTCTTTTAGGATGGACTGGTTGGATCTCCTTGCAGTCCAAGGGACTCTCAAGAGTCTCCTCCAACACCACAGCTCAAAAGCATCAATTCTTTGGTGCTCAGCTTTCTTTATAGTCCAACTCTCACATCCATACATGACCACTGGAAAAACCATAGC